TCACCAGCAGCAAGAGCGACATCATTGATATACACGGAGAAAAGTGTCGGCCCAAGAATTGAACCCTGTGGCACCCCCATAGAGACTGCCATAGGTCCAGACAACAGGCCCTCCGATTTGACACACTGAACTCTATCTGAGAAGTAGTTGGTGAACCAGGCGAGGCAGTCATTTGAGAAACCAAGGCTATTTAGTCTGCCAATAAGAATGCGGTGGTTGACAGAGTCGAAAGCCTTGGCCAGGTCGATGAAGACGGCTGCACAGTACTGTCTATTATCAATCGCGGTTATAATATCGTTTAGGACCTTGAGTGTGGCTGAAGTGCACCCATGACCAGCTCGGAAACCGGATTGCATAGCGGAGAAGGTACGGTGGTATTCGAAATGGTCGGTGATCTGTTTGTTAACTTGGCTTTCAAATACTTTCGAAAGGCAGGGCAGGATGGATATAGGTCTGTAGCAGTTTGGATCTAGAGTGTCACCCCCTTTGAAGAGGGGGATGACCGCGGCAGCTTTCCAATCTCTGGGGATCTCAGACGTTATGAAAGAGAGGTTGAACAGACTAGTAATAGGGGTTGCGACAATTTCGGCGGCTAGTTTTAGAAAGAAAGGGTCCAGATTGTCTAGCCCAGCTGATTTGTAGGGGTCCAGATTTTGCAGCTCTTTCAAAACGTCTGCTGTCTGAATTTGTGTGAAGGAGAAGCGAGGGGGGCATGGGCAAGTTTCAGCGGAGGGTGCAGAGTTGGTGGCCGGGGTAGTGGTAGCCAGATGGAAAGCATGGCCAGCTGTAGCAAAATGCTTGTTGAAATTCTCGATTATTGTAGATTTATCGGTGGTGATAGTGTTTCCTAGCCTCAGTGCAGTGGGCAACTGGGAGGAAGTACTCTTATTCTCCATGGACTTTACAGTGTCCCAAAACTTTTTGGAGTTAGTGCTACAGGATGCAAATTTCTGTTTGAAAAAGTTTGCCTTTGCTTTCCTGACTGCTTGTGTATATTGGTTCCTAACTTCCCTGAAAAGTTGCATATCGCGGGGGCTATTTGATGCTAATGCAGTACGCCACAGGATGTTTTTGTGCTGGTCAAGGGCAGTCAAGTCTGAGGAGAACCAGGGGCTATATCGGTTCTTAGTTCTGTATTTTTTGAATGGGGCATGTTTATTTAAGATTGAGAGGAAATTACTTTTAAGGAACAACCAGGCATCCTCTACTGACGGAATGAGATCTATATCCATCCAGGATACCTGGGCCAGGTCAATTAGGAAGGCCTGCTCGCTAAAGTGTTTTAGGGAGCGTTTGACAGTGATGAGGGGTGGTCGTTTGACCGCGGACCCGTTACGGACGCAGGCAATAAGGCAGTGATCGCTGAGATCCTGGTTGAAGACAGCTGAGGTGTATTTAGAGGGTATGTTAGTCAGGATGATATCTATGAGGGTACCCATGTTTACGGATTTAGGGTTGTACCTGGTAGGTTCGTTGATAATTTGCGTGAGGTTGAGGGCATCTAGTTTGGATTGTAGGATGGCCGGGGTATTAAGCATATCCCAATTTAGGTCACCAAGCAGTACGAACTCTGAGGATAAATGGGGGGCAATCAATTCACATATGGTGTCCAGGGCACATCTGGGGGCTGAGGGGGGTCTGTAGCAAGCGGCAACAGTGAGAGACTTATTTCTGGAAAGGTGGATTTTTAGAAGTAGAAGCTCAAACTGTTTGGGCACAGACCTGGATAGTATGATATCCAGGTTATTATTCAAGCCTGTCTCAAAATACAACATTGCCCCTTTAAGACAACAAAAAAAGCTCTTTACCTGACTTGCTTTTCAAAGATGTACACGTTTTGTGCTCTTGTAGGAAGCAATCACTCCCCTATTGATGACTACAAATGATCTATAACTGGGTTAATAACTCACTAACTAGCAAAGGATATGAACAAAATGTGCACACGTGGCTACGTGTAGCTCTTGCTTTAATCTCAAAACAAGCGCATCTAGTCACGACCGCTCATGCTGTAAACACAGTCCTGTTCAAAGTAAATGGCACAGATGCATATAAGGCAATGGTCTATTTGCATATAGGCCTACTGCAGCTCTGATTTGTTTATGTCACACCGGTACGAGCTGAGTAGTGCACATCAATGCAATAGAATCTTACTCCTATGCGTTCTGCCTACAACAAAATCTCTTGCATATTTCGTTTTGTTTCGGTATGTTGCATTGAAAGTGGCTTATATTGCATTGATTCGATCACAATTGCCACAGTAAAGGGAAACGTTGATACTGCTAACAGGGTCACCAACCTTTTCTGAGTCAAGATCACTTTGAGTCAAAATGCAAGCCGAGATCTACCACTCAGATTTTTTTTTTTTTACATGACTTAAAAGCCTATGGAACATTAACCAATTAAAAACAGTACTTTAGCAATGAGGTTTGTGCAGTAAGCTATAAACCCAATACATGATCACCGCATATTGGCTTTGCTAGAATTGCCCTGACAATTAATGCACTGTTGTTCAGGCCATTTCAAAATATACATATATTTCAAAATTTGAGGTAGGTTATATGATCACTCCGGTAATAGATCCGTTGTTGTATTACTTGTGAAGCACAGCTGAGTGAGCATACATTTCAATAATTTGCTTTTTATTTTTATATTACTGGGCTGATGGTGCCTGCATCTGATGGTCAGTCTCAGCAGACAGAGGGTCCGTCTCTCAACATCACTCCATTCTCCCTTTCCTCCACTGACACTGACCAAAAAGGGACACCGTCTTCCAGCTGATGGCGAAACTCGAGTCGCACCGCATTATTTCTGCCTCATGCACAAATTCATGTTGTTACTCCTATGAACAGAGAAAGTGAAATATTCCTCGACATTCAAAAAGACCCAAGCCGCTAATAATAACAACAACACAAGCCTATCGATACACTGTCCTACTCATTCATTCGAAATAGGAAGAACTCGCATTTTATGGCTTATAAAAGTGTTGACAGTGCTGAGTAAGAACTTAAACATGAACTCACTCATAAAAACAGCATCTCTTTGCTGTATTCGTTGACAGTCTCTTTCTCTAGTCATGGTTTTAAACGTTTTGAAATCTCACAGTATCAACTTTGCTGTAGCTTTCTTTTATGCCTTCTACGTTACTGCAGACACGGTCATCTGAGCCATCCGATTGGCCAGCGGTAGGCCTATAGTGCACTTGATTTTCTATCTGGCCCCGTTGGGAAAGCAGAGTTTGTACCTTCAGACACATGAAATGGTTCAAAATGGCAACAGTACGCCTACCCGGCGTGCAGGGCAGCTGAATCTGTTTCACCTACCGCCAACAACCCGTGCCGAATGAAAAAAATAGGAACACAAGGCTTTATCATTGGGTTTTTACAGAAATGTTTGGCGATCGACTAGGAATGCCTTGGAGATCGACCAGTTGGGGACCACTGCTCTAGAAAGTTGAGTGAAGTTGAATCTCGTGCTTCTCTCTGTGGGCTGATATTTTTGCCGGCAGCTCCCCGTGGCAGTCTCGGGGCATTGGTGGTAAGCCTACCGTTTGTAAAACACCAAAACAAGACGTCCGGACAGGACCAAAAAAAGCAGTCCAAATGGTGTGGTGTAGCCTACCATGTTGGCTGCAATGGAATTTTATGAATGCCAATCCATGTGGCAGGCCCACCATTTGTAAAACAGGCCGATGCATTGGCTTTATTAGTCCTGATTCCTGTGACTAATCAATTTGGCTATTTAAGCTCTGAATATCAGCTACCCAACTTTATCAGGAGTTATCGTGAGCCTATTTGCAATGTGTTTACACAGCGGGAAATGCAGAAGTATAAAATTTTTTGCTATGACCAGATTGTCAAATAATTTACGGATACAAACTTGAAACCACTGATCATGACAATGGGGTGAAACTCCTGGTCAACAGTTGTGATTGTTCATTCTATATTGTCAATTTTACTTTGACCTGTCCTGTTTTTAGGATAGGTTGTTTAAGCAAAATATTTTGCGCCCCTGCCTTTCACAAAGTGGCCACTGTTTATCACTGGGCGGCATCAGCACTCATATGCCACTGGTTGAGAGAAATTGTCATTGTTTTTGGGCGGTTTTATGTGTGGTTGTTGGAGGTGCCGCTTGGTCAATCTGCAGCCCTAGGCGGCCGCCTAATCCTGCCTAATGAGTGGGCCGTCTGTGAGCAAAGGTGTCAGCTAGAGATGAGCTGCAAGAAGAACTTGCAGGGGTTTGTAGTCTTGCATGATGCCTACTTTGATGCTAATCTCAGAGTATAATATATTGATAAAAGTCACCCTGTCCGAGAGATTTACACAGTTATCAAAAACATCACGCCAGGGTAAGCCTACACGAAACACAGCCCTTATTTGAAGTGTTTCTAAAATCCACAATGGATAAAATGAATGGTGGAAAAAACGATTGGAACCATTTCCGTGTTTGACCGATAGGTTGTATGGGTATTATGATGCCTCCACTGGGGCTCAATTACCATATTGCTTACACTGAAATCCTCTCGGATCTCCACAAGTGCATAGGGTGTAGGGCTTAGGGGTCCATTTGGGATAGGGCCCATGTCTCTTCCCTAACAATGGGAGTCGTTGCCCCAAAGGCGGGAAGGCAGGCCAGCGACAAAGTCCAAAATACGCCCATAGAAACGCTTTGGGTTTATTTTGGACAGAGTGAAACCAAATATTGTTCTAACTGTGGTGAAACCTCTCGCATCGCCTCTTCCTGTCTGACACAGCCAAGTTTTGCATCCCATAATGCAATAGGAGGCCGTTGTGATCCAGCAGCTGGTGGTGAGTTTCCAGAGCGCCGAAGAGGCAGTAGCAGGCGGCTGACACATCTCTGAGTCCATGTGACAATATACGAACCTTTTAAGCATGCAAGCATCAGATAAATATGCTGCTCAAGTGTCTTGCATATCTCCCTAAAGGCCTGTGAGTGTCTACAAGTACCACAGTATTCGTTGTTGGAGGATTCCTCCCCCGTCTGCCGGATCGCACCGAACAGGCAATGACAACGGCCTCAGCAACTCCGCAGCAGATGAGAGACCGGCTGCTGCAGGCCATCGATAGTCATAGCAATGTGAGTAGCTAGCTAGCAACACGATGTGGCTATCTGGACGAATATTTCCAATCTCATTTTTAAAAAAATATATATATATATATATGCCAATTATCCCCTGATAAATGATAGCTAAGTATACACGCTTTTGAGTTGACACATTGCTAGCTAGCCAGCTTGCTACGCTGACGTTACCGGGCGCCAGCTAGTAAGTTAGCTAGGTTGCTAGCCTGCCCAACAGGGCAACGTTAATGTTTAGCCAGCTAGTTTTAGCATTGGCCAGCCTTCTCTCAGCTAGCCAGTCACACAACATTCGCAAGTCAAACTGCAGTTGTTTTCACGTTTACCAATACCATATATTAACGTTAGTTACCTGGCTAGATAGCGAACTGTAATTAACTAACTGCAAACTTAAAAACAAGTAAACTTTTGATACGCTGAAGTGAAGAATGTCAGACGAAATAGCGTTAGCCTAGCTAGCCTACTTCAAGTTGACACTACTTTTCTCCCATTCCTCGCCCGTCATACACGTTGTTGCATAACTTCGCTAACGTTAGTAAGCTAGTAGCTACTACCTATCTAGGTGCTGTTAGCAACGCGGGTGTATTTAGTTACATACACTAGCGTTGCTTTAATTTCTAGGGTTGGGTTGCGCAAAAACAGTTAGTGGGAAGCCAGACGTGAAATACAATTACATTTCAACTTACTGTGCGCTGGTGGGCAGGAGGGTTGATCATTATAACGTGGGGAATTTGAGACAAAATCTAAAATATATTATTAAAGACTTTAGGATGTCCAATCAAAAACATATTTTGACCAGTGGGTAAAATAATGTAATTGTGTAGATAATCCTCTAAGAAAACCAATGGTCCAAACCTCATGTCTCATAGTGTGACAATACAAATATTATGTATATGTACAGGTGCAGCTCAATAAATTAGAATATTGTGGAAAATGTAAGTAATTTCAATAATTCAAATTACAAAGTGAAACTCATATTGTGGATTAATTACACAAAAAGTGAAATAGTTCAAGGCTATTTGTTTTAATCTTGATGATTATGGCTTACAGCTCATGAAAACCCCAAATTCAGTATCTCAGAAAATTAGAATATTGTGAAAAAGTAAAATATTGTAGACTCAAGGTGTCACACTCTAATCAGCTAACTCAAAACACCTGCAAAGGTTTCCTGAGCCTTTAAATGGTCTCTCAGTCCAGTTCAGTAGGCTTCACAATCATGGGGGAGACTGCTGACTTGACAGTTGTGCAGAAGACAGTCATCAACACCCTCCACAAGGAGGGGAAAGCCTCAAAGGATCATTGCTAAAGAAGCGCTGTATCCAAGCATATTCATGTATCCATGCATTTCATTTGGCAATCAAGATCCCAGAGTCTGGAGGAAGAGTGGAGAGGCACATAATCCAAGTTGCTTGAAGTCCAGTGTGAAGTTTCCACAGTCAGTGATGATTTGGGGAGCCATGTCATCTTCTGGTGTTGGTCCACTGTGTTTCATCCAGTCCGAAGTCAACTCAGCCGTCTACCAGGAAATGTTAGAGCAGTTCATGCTTCCGTCTGCTGACAAGCTTTATGGAGATGCTGATTTCATTTTCCAGCAGGACTTGGCACCTGCCCACACTGCCAAAGGTACCAATACCTGGTCAATACTTATGTCATATTATAATTTTCTGAGATACTGAATTTGGGGTTTTCATGAGCTGTAAGCCGTAATCATCAAGATAAAAACAAATACAGGCTTGAACTATTTCACTTTTTGTGTAATTAATCCACGATATATGAGTTTCACTTTGTCAATTTAATTATTGAAATTACTTAAATTTTCCACAATATTCTAATTTATTGAGCTGCACCTGTGTGTGTGTGTGTATATATGTGTGTATGTGAAGCAATTTCTAAGATTTTACTGAGTTCATATAAGGAAATCAGTCAATTGAAATGAACTCATTAGGCCCTAATCTATGGATATCATATGACTGGGAATACAGATACTTAAAAAAAATAAGAAAGTGGGGCGTGGATCAGAAAACCAGTCAGTATCTGGTGTGACCACCACTTGCCTCATGCAGGCGCGACACATCACCTTCGCATAGAGTTGATCAGGCGGTTGATTGTGGCCTGTGGAATGTTGTCCCACTCATCTTCAATGGCTGTGCGAAGTTGCTGGATATTGGTGGAAACTGGAACCCGCTGTCGTACATGTCGATCCAGAGCATCCCAACATGCTCAATGGGTGACATGTCTGGTGAGTATACAGGCCTGGAAGGACTGGGACATTTTCAGCTTCCAGGAACTGTGTACCACACCTTTCGACATGGGGCCGTGCATTATCATGCTGGAACATGAGGTGGTGGCGGCGGATGAATGACACGACAATGGGCCTCAGGATCTCGTCACTCTATCTCTGTGTATTGAAATTGCCATTGATCGTGCCTGGTTTCCTCCAGACATGACGCTTGGCATTCAGGCCAAAGAGTTCAATCTTGGTTTCATCAGACCAGAGAATCTTGTTTCTCATGGTCTGAGAGTCCTTTAGGTGCCTTTTGACAAACTCTAAGCGGGCTGTCTGGCCTTTTTACTGAGGAGTGGCTTCCGACTGGCCACTGTACCATAAAGGCCTGATTGGTGGAGTGCTGCAGAGATGATTGTCTCTCTGGAAGGTTCTCCCATCTCCAAAGAGGAACTCTGGAGCTCTGTCAGAGTGACCATCGGGTTCTTGGTCACCTCCCTGACCAGGGCCCTTCTCCCCCGATTGTTCAGTTTAGCCAGGCGGCCAGCTCTAGGAAGAGTCTTGGTGGTTCCAAACTTCTTCCATTTAAGAATGATGGAGGCCACTGTGTTCTTGGGGACCTTCAATGCTGCAGAAATGTTTTGGAACCCTTCCCCAGATCTGTGCCTCGACACAATCCTGTCTCGGAGCTCTACGAACAATTCCTTTCGACCTCATGGCTTGGTTTTTGTTCTGACATGCACTTTCAACTGTGGGACCTTATATAGACAGGTGTGTGTGCCTTTCCAAATCATGTCCAATGAATTGAATTTACCACAGGTGCTCCAATCAAGTTGTAGAAACATCTCAAGGATGATCAATGGAAACAGGATGCGTCTGAGCTCAACTTTCATTCTCATAGCAAAGGGTTTGATTACTTAATGTATTTCTGTCTTATTTTTAACAAATTAGCAAACATTTCTGTTTTGAATTTGTCATTATGGGGAATTGTGTGTAGATTGATCAACATTTTATTTATTTAATCAATTTTAGAATAAGGCTGTAACGTAACAAAATGTGGAAAAGGAGAAGGGGTCTGAATACTTTCCGAATGCACTGTGTGTGTATATATACAGTACCAGTCAAAAGTTTGGACACCAACTCATTCATGGGTTTTTCTTTATTTTTTACTATTTTCTACATTGTAGAATAATAGTAAAGACATCAACTATGAAAGAACACATATGGAATCATGTAGTAAACAAAAAAGTGTTAAAACAAATCAAAGTATGTTTTATATTTGTGAATCTTCAAAGTAGCCACCCTTTGCCTTGATGACAGCTTTGCGCACTCTTGGCATTCTCTCAACCAGCTTCATGAGGTAGTCACCTGGAAAACATTTCAATTAACAGGTGTGCCTTCTTAAAAGTTAATTTGTGGAATTTCTTTCCCTAATGCATTTGAGCCAATCAGTTATGTTGTGACAAGGTAGGGGGGGTATACAGAAGATAGCCCTATTTGGTAAAAGACCAAGTCCATATGGCAAGAAGAGCTCAAATAAGCATTACTTTAAGACATGAAGGTCAGTCAATCCGGAAAATTTCAAGAACTTTGAAAGTTTCTTCAAGTGCAGTCGCAAAAGCCATCAAGTGCTATGATGAAACTGGCTCTCATGAGGACCACCACAGGAATGGAAGACCCAGAGTTACCTCTGCTGGAGAGGATAAGTTCAATAGAGTTACCAGACTCAGAAATTGAAGCTCAAATAAATGCTTCACAGAGTTCAAGTCACAGGCACATCTCAACATCAGCTGTTCAGAGGGTATTGTGTGAATCAGTCCTTCATGGTCGAATTGCTGCAAAGAAACCACTACTAAAGGACACCAATAAGAAGAAGAGACCTGCTTGTGCCTAGAAACACAAGCAATGGACGTTAGACCAGTGGAAATGTTTCCTTTGCTCTGGAGTCCAAATTTGAGATTTTTGGTTCTAACCGCTGTGTCTTTGTGAGACGCGGTGTGGGTGAACGGATGATCTCCGCATGTGTAGTTCCCACCATAAAGCATGGAGAAGGTGTTATGGTGTGGGGGTGCTTTGCTGGTGACACTGTCTGTGATTTATTTAGAATTCAAGGCACACTTAACCAACATGGCTACCACAGCATTCTGCAGCGATACACCATCCCATCTGGTTTGGGTTTAGTGGGACTATCATTTGTTTTTCAACAGGACAATGACCCAACACACCTCCAGGCTGTGTAAGGGCTATTTTACCAAGAAGGAGAGTGATGGAGTGCTGCATCAGATGAACTGGCCTCCACAATCCTCCGACCTCAACCCAATTGAGACGGTTTGGGATGAGTCGGACCGCAGAGTGAAGGAAAAGCAGCCAACAAGTGCTAAGCATATGTGGGAACTCCTTCAAGACTGTTGGAAAAGCATTCCAGGTGAAGCTGGTTGAGAGAATACCAAGAGTGTGCAAAGCTGTCATCAAGGCAAAGGGTGGCTATTTGAAGAATCTCAAATATAAAATATTTTAATTTGTTTAACACTTTTGGTTACATGATTCCATGTGTTATTTTATAGTTTTGATGTCTTCACTATTATTGTACAATTTAGAAAATAGTTAAAATAAAGAAAAACCCTTGAATGAGTAGGTGTGTCCAGACTTTTGACTGGTACTGTAGGTCAACACCATCACTGGTATTATCAGGCTGTGTAGCTAATTGTTTGCTCTGACCATTTAGATTGAACGCAATTGTCTTGTGGTCGAGGAACAACAAATATGCTCCTTGAGTGGCGGGGGCAGGGCTAGGTTTGTGTGGAAAGCGGCATGGAGAGAGAGCTGAGAGAGATGACTGAAGTAGTGAAGTAAACTATAAAAATGTACGTTCGACACGGTGTATCACATTTTAACAATCCAAACATTCAAATGCCGTTATAGAAGGTGAAGTAAAAACCCAAACCGGTCCGTTCATCAATACCGGTATATCGTAAAATACGGTATAACGTCCGGCCCTATATTCATGTTTACTGATACCCGTTATGTTTGGGTCCTGTGTAATTATTTCTGCAAGCTGTTTAATTGCCAGTGCAAACAGGAGGGGGGAGAGAGGACATTTATAAACCAATTTCATCCGATAATGTATTTCTGTATATTTTTGCTTTAGGACATTTGATATAATATTTTTATTACATTTATTATTTCAGCTGGAAAGTTGTGAAAGCTTCCAAAGTTTTGAATAGAAAAGGCCATTCAAGACTGTCTAAAGCCTTTTCGGCATCAACAGCCATTATTGATGAATATGTCTTGTATAAAACTGAAACATGTTGTATTTGTTTGTCTATTTTTAATAAACCCTGTATATGTATCAAGTCTAAGACTTTGGCCATTCTATTGCTTATGAGCTTAGTTATTATTTTGTCACAGGGTGTCTGTCCTATTCAGTGTTTCTTATGGATAAGATGCCTACCGATACCTGTTATATATGCAACAAGCTACTGTCCATTGCTAGCAAGCTAACATGTTTTAAGCCAGTGGTCACCAACCGACCGGGTGATCGACTGGTCAATCTCCATGGCATTCCTTGTCAATCACCAAACATTTCTGTAAAAAACCCAACGAAAAAGCCTTGTGTTCCTATTTTTGCCATTTGTTTCACACTGTTGGCGGTATGTGCACTTGATTCAGCAGCCCTAGTGCCGGGAAGGCAAAGTCTTCCCATTTTGAACCATTTCATGTGTCTGAAGGTAGAACTCCACCTACCCGGCAGGCCCCAGAGGTAAAATCAAGTGCACCTATAGGCCTACCGCTGGCCAATCAGCTCAGATCACCATGTCTGCAGTTTCTTGAGCCATATACTCTAAAAAGAAGCCTAGAGCGCACAGCAAAGTTGATACTGTGAGATTTCAAAACTTTTAAAACCATGACTAGAGAATCAACGAATACAGTATGTTTTTGAGTGAGTTCATGTTTAAGTTGTTATTCAGCATTGTCAACACTGCGCATTTTATGGCTTATAAAAGTATTGTACAATCTCCCTACTTCCACTCACGCTACAACCAGCACTGCCGCTGCAATGATTTGATAAGCTTGTATTATTAGTGGCTTGTCTTTTTTTAATATCAAGGAATATTTCACTTTCTCTGGTCATAGGCGTAACAACATGAATTGGTGCATGATAAGGAAATGAGTTTTGCCATTATCTGGAATACGGTGTCCCCTTTTCTCAGCGGGAGGGAGAGCGGCGGGAAGGTGAGAGGCAGCCTTACTGCTGTGCTCTCTCTCCCCCACCTCTGACCATCAGATGCAAGCCATCAGTCCAGTAACATTTTAAAAAGCTCATTATTATGCTCTCAGCTGTGCAAAACAAAATCTCAGCTTGCGTTTTGACTCTGATCTTGACTCAAAAGGTTTGGAGAGCACTGTTTTAAATAATTGCTAGACTGCTTGATAGACAGTTAATAGCCAGCATAGCGTTTAGCTCTATCAAGATAATAGGCCAGCCAGCAAGCCAATTGTTGCATACTTAGAAGTAACAGCTAGCTAGCTTAGTAACTCTGTGCTGAAAGTCTGTGTTCTGATAATCTTTTTTGCTCCTTCCAGCAGATTCACAATATGGTGGCAGTATTAGAAGTTATCACATACTTGGAGAAATTCCCTATCACCAAAGAAGCACTTGAGGTAAGACCCAAAGCATTGTAAGTGCTTTAATTGTTGCCTGTGACAACGATTCTAGTATTCTTAAAAGGATCATTTGGGATTTTGGCAATGAGGCCCTTTATCTATTTGCTAGTATTGGCTGGTGAAACTACCTCCCAACTTCCTTCATTCTGGACACATATACATAAAAATGGTATCCACAAGTTCATCTGACCCTGGGGAAGTAGATAAAGGGCCTCATTGCCGAAATCCCAAAGTATCCCTTTAACAACTTTTTATTTGCATTACCAATTTAGGAAACTCGATTGGGGAAACTGATCAATGATGTGAGGAAGAAGACCAAGGATGAAGACCTTGCCAAGCGTGCCAAGAAGCTTTTGCGGAGCTGGCAGAAATTGATCGAGCCGGGGCAAAATGAGACTCCATCGCGGGGGGCGGTAAGTGTCTCGGGCTCTGCCAATGGTGGTGCCCACCCCTGTCGGATTGACGTTCCACCCCCTGACGTATCCCTGGCAGGCAAAGGTGTCCAAGAGGTCAAAACCAGAAATGACGTCCACAACACCTACTCGCCCAAAGCAGAGAAGTCAAGCAGCAGGAAGCGTAGAGGGGAGCAAAAGGACAGTGTGCATTTACCGGCCAAAACCTCCAAGATGTCCCCCAATGAGCAGATGCACAACTCCACTCCGCCGCCACCTCCCACAAATGGTATTACAGGTAACCCTGAGGCTCCCCCAGATCTAGAGGCTACCCCATCGCCGGACAGGGCCCGGACAGAGCACACTGAGAATGAAAAACACAGTAGAATCCCTGTCAATGCTGTCAAGCCTCACCCCAGCTCCCCGGGCCTCACCAAACTACCTAGCACTTCCTCCTTACTCAAGACTGCTGTGTTGCAGCAGCAGGCAAGGCTGGACGAAGGAGGAGGGGGGCAATATCAGGCCAAAAGCCCCCGCTGCCTCTCAAGTCCACGGACTATGAAGCAAGAGACTATGTCCAAGCGCTCTTCAACATATGCACCAAAAGGGACTATCCCAAGCCCAGCTCGGAGTCCTCGCTTGCCTTCGTCCCAGCCTTTAACGTCCCCAGCCCAAGTGTCTCACGTGGACGGGCTGCCACCCCCTGCCCATAGGGCCTCACTGCACTGGCCCGGCTCCTCAGAGGTCACCACCAATCCCCCACACAGCACTGCAACACTAGAACCCCCGCCTGTCTTCCCTCCCATCTCCCAGCCCGTCCCACAAAACTCTGAAAGCGCAGAACTCCACAGACCCACACCCTCCTCCTCTGTAATGGTGGTCAAGGCTGAGGCAGAAGTCTCTGCCTCCAGCTCGGACCGCAAAAAGAGGAAGAAGTACAGGTCCAGAGACTACGCTGTCAACCTGCAGGGGCAGGACACCGAGGACAAAACAAAGCCTGTGCGGTTAAAAGAGCGCAGGCTAACGTTTGACCCTGTGACTGGGCAGATCAAGTCCATGGTACATAAAGAACCCTGTCAGGTGGAGGAACCCCCAATGCCACCTCCCCCTGAGCCCCAACAGAGGACTGAGCTGCACCTGCAGCAGCCTCCCACCCCCAGCCCCTTCCAACAGACTAACTGGAAAGAGCTGTCCCGAAACGAGATCATCCAGTCCTACCTAAACCTTCAGAGCAACGTGCTCACATCCTCGAGGGTCAAGGCCCCCGGCGCGCACTTTTTCATGTCAGAATACCTGAAACAGGAGGAGAGCGATCTCAGGGAGGCGAGGCGAGGAGTCCACGTCTTGCAGCTGGACAGCTCGGTAACGGACACACCTGGAGTGAGCCGGGAGGTGACCGACAAGGACCTCCACAGAGTACATACGGAGCACTGGCAAGGGGTAAATGGTTGTTACGACACCAAGGGCACTTGGTACGACTGGACGGAGTGTATATCCTTGGACCCACACGGGGACGAGAGCAAACTGAACATCCTGCCATACGTTTGCCTAGACTGAGGAGATGGGGTCTCTGTCAATTGTTTGTCAAAGGGCTGTTTCAGTTCTGTTTTTCAAAAATAAAAAGTTGCAGGAAAGATGTGCCCGTTTGCAGAGTGCTGCTACTAACAATGAATTGCAAACTAGGGTTCTAGTGTAGGGTTGGCTGGAGTTTAGCTTTCCAGTTACGTGCTCCGAGGGTGTTTAGAGTTCATCTAGCACAGGTAATGCCGAATGTGTCCAGCAAGTGGAATACTGGCATCTATTTGGCAATTACGAGAAGCTTTATGTGACATATACAAAAATAAATTATAAAATTTCTTATCATGTATGCATCTATTTATTTGACTTTTTCTGTTTTTTTTGGGAGGTTTATGGAAACAATGTACAAAACCTGTAGGGCTTTTCTGTTTGCATCACATACTGTTGACCTGTTCTGCAATGCAAAAGAGGCATGACATTGTTTTGCACCTTCTTTTGTTTTTGGTTGGCCGATACGCGTTAGCTATCCAACATTCCATACTCCACCTCATCCTCTCTCCTCATCACTCTGTTCTGATGTACACATGCCATCATACATTTCTTCCCGGAGGAAGTTCAGCAAAAAAATGGTATTTTCTTTAATGTGTTCAATCAGCAAAGTATTTTTTAAATGATCTTTGTTTTTCCATTTACTTATCCCCCAACAATCCTCACCCAGGCAGAAAATGTTAATGAAAATGTTGAAACAGAGGGTGCTAATACAACTGTGAGGACAAGAAAATAAGGAAATGTTTGTATGCTGGAACTATACTTGTTAACATTCCTTTAGCTATCGTTTTGGCTTATGAAATTTCATCACAAGATTTTCAAAGTTGAACAACCTTAATGAATGGACCGAAATGAGACCTTTGTATTTAGTTTACAGAGGTAGGCAACTTATTTCATAATTGACATTAAGGTACGTGTAGATACAAACAAAACACCTGCAAGGTCAATTTTATTTTTGACATAGTTCTGACATCCATTTCAAAATTTCCCTCCGATCTTTCAAGGGTTTGTATTGCAGGAATGTTCTACTCATTGAGAAGCATGCGTGATGGTAAATGAAGCATTGTTTATTTCGCTTTTTTTGTTGAAAACGACAACCTAGTTATGCATTCTTCATAACGTTTTCCATGTGACAGAAACATTTTTTTCCTTTTGTTATTCTCATCGTGCATTGCCACGGTTCTCCACGACATTACTTTAGATGGGGTAAGATCAGACTGCGTCGCTACGTTCATCCCTACCAATGTGCCTTTGATGTCAAATCTGGATTTGCTTTTGCATAATACTCGTCCTTGGAACTAGGTTTGTGTGTGGCAATTCCAAATTCAATGTCCGATGATGCTGGAATATGCACCGTTTTTTCTAAGCAATGGTCCTTAGTCAACACTGATCCGGAATGGGTAAATTGCAGACAATGAGGCATCACTCAAACACAGCTCGCAATAAAGAAATGCTAAAGATGATTGATATGGATCTGGTCAGTTTGACTGGGATATCTTTATTTGTTCAGTGTTTAACATCTCATTTGTTTGAAAAATAAAGTGATATAAACCCTATGCACAGTTTTCTCGTTTGCGATAAGACTTAATTCTTACGCAACATAAACCCAGATGTTTTTGTATTGTAGTCATGATGGGGTTAACAGGTCAATGTTTGCATTAATATGGTACTTGCAATGATGTAAACGTGTCTATATATATATATATATATATGTACATTACTCCTTTGGTTTCCATTGTGTATTCTCAGTGTATCCTCATGGGGGAGCACTTAGCCAGTATTTGAAGTAATTGAGAAATTCAAAGGTTTTAAACATGGAGTTGAATGGGTTATGACAAGTTTTACGGTTAAACTAATGTGTCTAACATCCCTTACAAAAAAAGAGTGCATTATGCTGCAAATACTGTGTCCAAAATAACCCCTTTTATCATAATTTTTTTGCAGTGTCACTGCAGTTACGGTGCAGTATAACAGCAGTACACTGCAGTTATTCTGCAATTACTGCGTCCAAAATACCTCATTCGACTGCAGTTTCAAAACCACAATATTTTTTAAAGAATTGCTTTATATCTATGAATTGCAAAGGGGTGTCTTCTTTCACCTCCTTGAGTGGGTTTCTCTTCGTTGTTATGACAAACCGCAACAACTATCAACCAAGTCTCTACATGCATTTCAGAACATCTCAGCTCCGAACCCTCTCCCATCAACACGACTAAGCTGCTCAGTGCACTTTTACCTCACCTGGGGCCTAATTTATAAATGTTGCTTATGCACAAAACATACCCCAAAAACATGTGTGTGCCAGTTTTCCCACAAAAGTTGGCATTTATAAAAACAACTTGGCATGAGAATGTCACTGGGAGAAGCTCAATTGGATACTCCTTTAATCCTATCTCCTCAAGACCCATTGGTGGAGAATGTCAGAGGGGCGGAATCTCAGGCTTTCTCATCCAATGGGTTTTGAGGAGGCGGCAAGGCGAGAACGTGAGGAGTATGCAATTGAGATTCTCCCCTTAACTCTGTGTTTCCCAAACTCGGCCCCCAGGAACCCAAGGAGTGCACTTTTTGGTTTTTGCCCTAGCACTACTCAGCTTGATGATCACGTGCACCCCTTGGGGTCCTGAGTTTGGGAAATCCTGCCTTAACTCCACGCAAACTTTAGACTGTGTGTGCACATTTTCTAGTGGTTGAAGTATTGGGCGCATTCCTATGCTTAGACGTTGTTGATGCTTGACAGATCTTACAACGCCTGGCTAGTTATTTTAAGTATCAGCTAACCACATACAGTGCATTCGGAAAGTATTCACACCCCTTGACTTTTTCCACATTTTGTTACGCTACATTCTTATTCTAAAATGGATTAAATAAAACATTTCCCTCATCAATCTACACACAATACCCCATAATGACAAAGCGAAAACAGGTTTTTAGAAATGTTTATAGGTCTTCAGACCTTTTGTTATGAGACTTGAAATTGAGCTGTGTATCCTGTTTCCATTGACCATCCTTGAGATGTTTCAACAACTTCATTGGAGTCCACCTACGGTAAATTCAATTGATTGGACATGATTTGGAAAGGCACACACACCTGTCTATATAAGGTCCCACAGTTGACAGTGCATGTCAGAGCAAAAACCAAGCCATGAGGTCGAAGGAATTGTTCGTAGAGCTCCGAGACAGGATTGTGTCGAGGCACAGATCTGGGGAAGGGTACCAAAACATTTCTGCAGCATTGAAGGTCCCCAAGAACACAGTGGCCTCCATCATTCTTAAATGGAAGAAGTTTGGAACCACCAAGACTCTTCCTAGAGGTGACCAAGAACCCGATGATCACTCTGACAGAGCTCCAGAGTTCCTCTGTGGAGATGGGAGAACCTTCCATAAGGACAACCATCTCTGCAGCACTCCACCAATCAGGCCTTTATGGTACAGTGGCCAGACGGAAGCCACTCCTCAGTATAAGCACATGACAGCCCGCTTGGAGTTTGCCAAAAGGCACCTAAAGACACTCAGACCATGAGAAACAAGATTCTCTGGTCTGATGAAACCAAGATTGAACTCTTTGTCATGAATGCCAAGTGTCACGTCTGGAGGAAACCTGGCACCATATCTACAGTGAAGCATGATGGTGGCAGAATCATGCTGTGGGGATGTTTTTCAGCGGCAGGGACTGCGAGACTAGTCAGGATCAAGAGAAAGACGAACAGAGCAAAGTACAGAGAGATCCTTGATGAAAACCTGCTCCAGAGCGCACAGGACCTCAGACTGAGGCGAAGATTCACCTTCCAACAGGACAACGACCCTAAGCACACAGCCAAGAAGACGCATGTGTGGCTTCGGGACAAATCTCTGAATGTCCTTGAGTGGCCCAGCCAGAGCCCGGACTTAAAACCGATCGAACATCTCTGGAGAGACCTGAAAATAGCTGTGCAGTGACGCTCCCCTTCCAACCTGACAGAGCTTGAGCGGATCTGCAGAGAAGAATGGGAGAAACTCACCAAATACAGGTGTGCCAAGCTTGTAGCATCATACCCAAGAAGACTTGAGGCTGTAATCGCTGCCAAAAGTGCTTTAACAAAGTACTGAGTAAAGGGTCTGAATACTTATGTAGATGTGATATTTCAGCTTTTAATTTTTTATAAATTTGCTCAAATTTCAATAAAACTGTTTTCGCTCTGTCATTATGGGGTTTTGTGTGTAGATTGATGAGGGGGAAAAAACTATTTAATTCATTTTAGAATAAAGCTGTAACGTAACAAAATGTGAAAAAAAGTGAAGGGGTCTGAATACTTTCCGAATGCACTGTATAACGAGTCTGAACTATGATCAATTAAGCCATATCAATGCAGTTAAACAGGTTCATGTAAAATAATAATTTGTGTTGGCTTACACTTATGGCACTTCCTAGGCCATTTCATGATGATTATTAAGGTCGTGTCAATCATGTTATATACTTAGGATATTGTAACAAGGCATATGCCAGCATTGTAGGCCTACTGCCTCTGCCCAGAGGCCTACTAGGCTTTCATAGCAACGGCCGTTAGAGTTCACTTTGCCACATATGAGCCCTGGTTAGAGTCCCTGTTGCAGCTTTCACTTTCTTCCGCTACATTGGTGGCAGTGTTGGGATCACGTCCAACTCATGTTTATGTGATCTAGTGTTGGGAAGTATTCTGTTTTTCAACATTGTGTTGGGTGTAATTACATTTATATATCTAGTGAACAATGGATAAGCAACAATGGGCGTGACGGATAGAAGTAGTCCCTACAGGTGTGATCAAGCCTTCCAGTACATGAAAGTTGCCTGAAGCTGAATGGAAAGTGCTATGCCCTGACCAGTTATTCTGAAGAAAATCCTCTGTGACTGTGTAATTTACATAAATTAACTTACCAGTGTGGACCCAAAACAAACACATTCTACACATTTACTAACTACCTGTTTAAAGTGTTATTACAACCATGGTGTTCTTTTGTTACTGAAGCTTATATTTCAAATAACCTGACAATGATCCACATCATATGGGTAGACAAATAATGTAAGTGTGTTATGCAGCAAAACACAACTATCCTTTTTTTTTAGGATGTAAACCAGTAATATGAATCAGTGTTGATCTATCCTGTTCTGATCTACGGCCTAGAATCTAGGCCCCTCTTGGTTCTTATTGGCGAAGACTGAACTCAAGTTAGGGATTATATGTCAGACTCTCCTGTACCACTTTGCCCAACATGTTATACCTCAGAAGTTGTAAATAAACCCTTTTTAAGGTGATATAACTTGTATCATTATTATAGGGCTGTGAAACACATAGCCGAATGACTTCAGACTGAGCGGTTCTCACCATTTATTTACGGGGAGCAATTTCCGTTTTATAACAGGTAGTGTCCATTTATTTACAGTAGTGTATTGATTAATTATTGCTTTCTTCAGTGGAAATACAGAATATGTAAAAAAATGCCAAATATACCAAAAGCTAAATCAAGCAGAGATGTAGGACTATTTAACCATGTTAATCATTACTGAAACATGCAAACTACAAACATTTAACCAGTTAAAGATAATAAATACATGACAACTAGATACAAATATTTTATAAAAAATAATTCATACAAAAGTCAGAGTGTGTGTATATGTGTGTTTGTGTGCTTGTGTGTATTATAATTTCCCATCATAAAAATGTATCCCCATTCCACAATCAAATACCTTCATCTATATCTATACGTATTTTTTTCACCAATCTGGCAACCCTCATAAAATTCGACAAAGCCTTGTATATAATGCATTATGAAAGAAATGGTGTAATGTACACGAAAAAGTGGAGCCTTGTATTAAATGCATTATAAAGAAAATTGTGTAATGTAGGCTCCACGAAATATGAAATGCGTTATGAAGAAAATCGTGTAGGCCTACTGATGCCTACACGAAAAAATGGCCTTTCTGACTACAACTGCACCAGTATCCCAAAGTATTAAAAGAAAACAAGCATAGAAAAAATATTGGCATAATTAAGTTGCACAAAAATGTATTTTCACACGAATTAAGACACAAAAAATCGCACGAAATCTACTGAAATACATTTTGTACATATTTGTGAGATTGTGTTTCGTTCAGAGGTGCCAAGTACTCTCGGCTGGCAAACGAAACGCTACCGGTATGTACATACCTTAAGGGTGTCCGAAAAAGTTGTGGGTAAGTAGCCAAATGTGTTCAGTATGCCATTTCAATTAAATTGACAACCACACAAACTGTCACTGAAGTGATACAAATGGACACTTGAAAATGAATTGATGTTGCTCTTTTTTCATCTGTATTTTTATGATTTTATTTTAGACAACTAACTGTGGTTTATAACAATGTAATAACGCGAGTCATGACTATTCTGTTAATTGTTTGATGCTCTAATGGATATTTTTAACCATGTTCTCATTTTTAACCATGTTCTCATAACTCTATTAACATTTTCAGTATTCCAAAAAGGGTCAAACCCCTTGAATGAGCAAAGGGGGTCCTTTACACTCTCAAATTTGGCTCAAGAATAGTAGTATTACGTCATTCAGTAGCTCGTACTTTGGTAGTTCCTCAAACTTTTTCCGACAGAGACTCAAGACTACTGCGCGTCTTGGCACGCTGGGTGGGACAAAAGGATACTCCCACCATTCAGGAATTTGGAACTTTCCTTTCATATAAGGACTTTTTGATGTCAATCACAATCTAGAGAAAGGGAAAGGTGCAGCCTAAAATCGATAAACGAAGCGTACAAATTCGTGTAAGCGTTTTTATTGGTTGCAGACAAATTAAAGGAAGTATTTAGTTCACTCCGGAGTTAACTGGAAGAGAAACGAAAATAAAAGTCCTTGCACAAAGAAACTGATACAAAAGTATCCATACGAAAAACAAAGTACTCGATTATAATCATGTCTGGCTCGTCATTTAACAGAGGTCCTGCCTATGGGTTTTCTGCGGAAGTCAAAAGCAAGGTAAGTGTTCACGGAATGGCGTTAAGTGCGAATGAATCACTTGCCTTATGTTATTATACTGATATAGTGAAGTATATTATAGAATGTGTATGTCTAGGTCTTTTAGGCTACATGGGGTATGATTTGCTGAGTGAAAAGGTATTGACGTGGAACGGGCAATCTTTTTGGAATTACCTAAATAAAGTGCAGGTCTTTTACAAAGGATTACAAAAGTTTTACCAGCTCTGCACTATGCATATACTTCTGATAATAGTGTTCATTAATATGACAGAATGATAATACACTAATCTTTAAGTTTGTTTAGTTTTGGGAAGCGCTTAAAGCATGGGCGTTGCCCATGATATTGGCAATGGAAATGTCCTTGTGGCAAGTTGAAATATGCGATCCCATTAGCCTACATAGTGAAACTGGTCAGTACTCTATAGAGTTGTAGGTCTTTCATTCATCCATGTCCCTGAGTTTGATGTCACGCATCCAGAGGTCACACTGTCCTATAGTGATAGCAACTCCTGCATCCTGCGCTGCGGTGGATTGGGGCCTTGGTGAACGGCAATTGTAGTGCGCACTGCGCCGACGTAATGACTCCACAAAACAGTCCAAATAGTCTCCAAATAGAAATATGTTCTAATTCAGAACATATGCATATTCAAAAGTTAACCTTAACAGGAGACAGTGCCTGTGTCCTCCATCCAGAACATCAATGACCATGCCAATAACACAACCATGTGTTAACCTACTTACCCTCAAGCCAAATAGAACTGTTCTATCACACACATACTGTAAAAAACAACAACAAAAAGAATTGGAGTGTCCTTTGTGTTCCTGTCCTTATTTCTTTTTTTATTGTGTAGGCCTAATCTTGTGTTACACAGTGTAATAGGAGAAGTGGAATTGAAACTCTCTGCAAAGGGCCCCAACCTGGTTCTTTACTTATGTCAATGGAGAAGACTAACATAATACAATTTTCTCCTTTATTTTTCATAAACAAAACAAACTTCACCCATCATGTTCCAAGGTATGTTGTACAAAAGAATACTCAAGTCCCCACACTGCTACCATAATCCTCAGAACAGCCTCAATTTGTCGGGGCATGGACTCTACAAGGTGTCGAAAGCGTTCCACAGGGATTCTGGCCCATGTTGACTCCAATGCTTCCCACAGTTGTGTCAAGTTGGCTGGATGTGCTTTGGGTGGTGGACCATTCTTGATACACACGGGAGACTGTTGAGTGTGAAAAACCAAGTAGCGTTGCAGTTCTTGACACAATCTGTTGCACCTGGCACCTACTACCATACCCCGTTCAAAGGCACTTAAATATTTTGTCTTTCCCATTCACCCACTGAATGGCACACATACCAATCCATGTCTCAATTGTCTCAAGGCTTTAAAATCATTCTTTAACCTGTCTCATGTCCTTCATCTACATTGATTGAACTGGATTTAATAAGTGACATCAATAATGGATCATAGCTTTCACCTGGATTCACCTGGTCAGTCTATGTCATGAAAAGAGCAGGTGTTCTTAATGTTTCATACACTGTGTACATGCATTATAGTCTCTGTCTGAGGGGTCCCATTCCTCCAGTTTACCATTGGCCCTCAGAACACAATGTACTGGTAGCCAAGTGGATGTAAAGCTTTTGGTTTCTTCTCATACTAATGAATGATGTCCATGAGCTCTGGTATTTCCTGCCATTGATGCAATGTGAGGTATTTAAGTGTTATTCAATTAGTTTTGGTTAACCCAGACCAAACAAGCACCACTGGCCACCAATTGTGTATCATTATTTGAAGTACGCATTGCACATAGTTTTCTCGTAAATACCAATGGAAACAGTAATGTTAAATAAAGTGTAACTCACATGTTACCTACTGTGATGAGTGTGATAGAAGGAGTCAGGCGCAGTAGGGTAATCACCGAATGCAGAGTTTATTCCGTCGTACACAAATATCGCTGGATAGCGACAAACGAAACAGGCACAGGGGAAAATCTACCCTGGCAATACAAGGTAATGGTAGCTCCAACAATAACAGGCACAGGGGAAATATCTACCCCGGCAATAACGAGGTACGAGTAGCTCCACCGAGCTACACTACTCTCACAAATAAAACAGAGGGAACACTTATACACGGACTAATGAGGGGATATGAACCAGGTGTGTGTAATTAACAAAACAAGACAAATGGAATTATGATATATGGAGCGGCAGTGGCTAGTAAGCGAAGCCTGCCCGAACAAGGAGGGGAGGCAGCCTCGGCGGAAGTCGTGACACCTACACATCGTTTGTTGGTGTTTTGGTTGTGCCAACCTTTTCCAAGATGCTAGGTGAAGCTTAAAGTCTTCCTATAATGAACTTTTGACCTTTCCCCCCTCTCCAGATTGCTGGAAAGTATGACCCTCAGAGAGAGGAGGAGCTAAGAGTCTGGATCGGGGATGTGACAGGATGTGTTATCGGGGAGGACTTCCAGAAAGGCCTGAAAAATGGTGTCATCCTGTGCGAGTAAGCTTATAAATAGGGCCAGCATCCATCATCATCCTATTTATAATGTCACCCTAATCATAATGTGTAAGACAAGGCTTTATTGATCCACATTTTATTGCTCAGCCAATGCATGTAACCAAAGACAACATCAATCATAAACATTCAGCTAGCTACAACGTAATAAATAAAATGATACAATCCATTGCATATGTCCTGACTGTCCTCATAGTTGTTGGTTTTACTGTACTGTATTCAGTAATGATTATGCTCGACAGACAATTTTTTCCTCTGATTCCTTCTGTTGCCTATGAGGTACTGCGGTCTAAGTCAGCAAACTCTCTCTTCCTCCTCCAGACTGATCAACAAACTTCAACCTGGCTCTGTGAAAAAAATCAACTCGTCCACCATGAATTGGCATCAGGTGAGCAGCTTGGATTGCTCTCTCTACATAAGACATGCCAGTACATCAACAGACGTGTACTGTACTTTACCAGGTGGTTTTACAGTTATGGAATACATCTGAGCTGTTGTGCTGACCAAGCCTGTTTTTTTACTAACGTAAAAGCAGAGGTAGATTATTATTAGAGGTGCAACTTTCTCTGGACCAGAGAGTGTACTGAAGTAGAACATGGGTTAGAATTAAGCAGTAAGGCCCGAGGGGGTGTGGTATATGGCCAATATACCACAGCTAAGGGCTGTTCTTAATCACGACGCAATGCGGAGTGCCTGTATACAGCCCTTAGCCGTGGTATATTGGCCATATACCACAAACCCCCGAAGTGCCTTATTGCTATTATAAACTGGTTACCAACGTAATTAGAGCAGTAAAAATAAAAATAAATTCATACCCATGGTATACGGCCTGATATACCTCGTCTGTCCGCCAATCAGCATTCAGGGCGCGAACCACCCAGTTTATAATGTGAAATATAGTGAGAACTCGGTGTGCAAGAGATATCCTTTTAGCTAAATTGCTTAATTCTTTGCTATGATAACCACTTTATGGCTATGACTTCCTAAAATCAACCTTAATGCAATTATTGAGAAGCTCTTTACTCATCTTGTCTTCTTATGCACTTTTCTGGTTCTAGCTGGAGAACATCACCAATTTCATCAAATCCATCCAAACGTACGGCCTGAAGCCCCATGATATCTTTGAGGCCAACGACCTGTTTGAGAACGGGAACATGACCCAGGTCCAGAGCACACTGCTGTCTCTGGCTGGTATGGTAAGACTTTCAGTATTAAGAACTCATTTTTATGCTTGCATCCCTCATGAGAATAGCAACTTCTGTATTTTATTTTATCTTAGCTGAAGCTTCTGTAATTTCCACTTGCATGAATCATTTAATATTGTACAGATTAAATGGCTGACCTTGCAGTAATGCTCTGTACAACAACATGGTTTTATCTTCATAAAGATGTTCCTGAAGCTAACATAATGGTGTCAGTGTAGCTGTAGGTGGGTGTGGTGGTGGAATCAGGCGCAGGACGCACAAAGTAAGTCCAAAAGACTTTAGTAGTTTGGCAACAAAACACAGCACGAAACCAAATGCCCTGAGGCGAGAAACTCCGCACACAGGCGAAATAAAGCGGGCGCACAAAATACGTGCGACAAACTACTCCAAAAACACAGAATGGAGAGCAGCTCAACCGAGCAAACTGTACATACAAAAGCTAAGCGCACGACAGTGAAAACAATCACACACAACACTAGACAAACACAACGAGAACTTATAGGACACTAATTACACTAAACGATAACAGGTGTAACAACAATCAGACAAAAGCAAACGAACATAGAAACATGCAACGGTGGCAGCTAGTATTCCGGAGACGACGAACGCCGAAGCCTGCCCGAGCAAGGAAGAGAGGCAGCCTCGGCCGAAACCGTGACAGTACCCCCCCCTTGACGCGCGGCTCCAGACGTGCGCCGACTCCGGCCTCGGGGACGACCAGGAGGACGCGGAGCAGGGTGCGTCGGGTGCCCACGATGGAATTCCGTCAGGAGAGACGGGTCCAAAATGTCTCTCCTCGGCACCCAGCACCGTTCCTCCGGGCCGTACCCCTCCCACTCCACTAGATATTGGAGACCCCCCATCCGACGTCTCGAATCCAAGATGGACCGCACGGAGTACGCCGGTGCCCCCTCGATGTCCAATGGGGGCGGAGGAGTCTCCCTGATCTCACTTTCTTGGATTGGGCCAGCTACCACCGGCCTGAGAAGAGACACATGGAACGAGGGGTTAATACTTTTATACTCAACAGGTAGTTGTAATTTGTAACACACCTCGTTCAACCTTCTCAGGACTTTAAATGGCCCTACAAACCGCCGACCCAGTTTCCGACAGGGCAGGCGGAGGGGCAGGTCTCTGGTAGAGAGCCAGACTCGATCACCAGGTGCGTACACCGGTCCCTCACTGCGGTGGAGATCGGCGCTCGCCTTATGACGACGGTGGGCCCCGCTGCAGGTGGACGTGTGCAGCGTTCCATGTCTCCTCCGAGCGCCGCGCCCACTCATCCACCGCAGGAGCCTCGATCTGGCTCTGCTGCCAAGGTGCCAGAACCGGCTGGTAACCTAACACACATTGGAAAGGGGTTAGGTTAGTGGAGGAATGGCGTAGGGAATTCTGGGCCATTTCGGCCCAGGGAACGTACCTTGCCCACTCCTCCGGCCGGTCCTGGCAGTATGTTCTAAGAAACCTACCCACATCCTGGTTCACGCGTTCCACCTGCCCATTACTCTCCGGGTGGTAACCCGAGGTGAGGCTCACCGAGACCCCCAACCGCTCCATAAAAGCTCTCCAGACTCTGGAGGTAAATTGGGGACCACGATCAGACACAATATCCTCGGGTACCCCGTAGTGCCGGAACACATGGGTGAATAGTGCTTCGGCGGTTTGCAGGGCAGTAGGAAGGCCCGGCATAGGGAGCAAACGACAGGCCTTAGAAAACCGGTCCACAACGACCAGTATAGTGGTATTCCCCTGTGAAGGAGGAAGGTCAGTGAGGAAATCCACCGAGAGGTGAGACCATGGTCGTTGTGGAACGGGCAGGGGTAGTAACTTACCCCTAGGCAGATGTCTAGGCGCCTTACACTGGGCGCACACCGAGCAGGAGGAAACATAAACCCTCACATCCCTCGCCAACGTGGGCCACCAGTACTTGGCACTAAGACAGTGCACTGTCCGGCCGATACCAGGGTGTCCAGAGGAGGGTGACGTGTGAGCCCAATAGATCCAGAGTTTAGGTGGCGCGCCGGACCGTTGCGACAGCACGGCTCCTATACCGGCCTCTGACGCGTCCACCTCTACCTGAAATGGCAAAGAGGGATCCGGATGCGCCAGCACCGGAGCCGAGGTAAACAGGTCCTTCAGCCTCCCAAACGCCCTGTCCGCCTCGGCTGACCACTGCAGACGCACCGGACCCCCCTTCAAAAGAGACGTTATGGGAGCTGCCACCTGTCCAAAACCCCGGATAAACCTCCGGTAATAATTCGCAAACCCCAAAAACTGCTGCACCTCCTTCACAGTGGTTGGCGTTTGCCAATTACGCACGGCTGACACCCGGTCTACCTCCATCTTCACCCCTGACGCAGACAACTGATAACCCAAAAAGGAGACCGACTCCTGGAAGAACAGACACTTCTCTGCCTTGACATACAGGTCGTGCTCCAACAGTCTCCGCAACACTCGGCGCACCAGGGCCACATGCTCGACTCGGGTAGGCGAGTACACGAGAATGTCATCGATGTACACGACCACCCCCTGCCCCTGCATGTCCCTGAAGATCTCATCCACGAAGGATTGGAAAACTGAAGGAGCGTTCATCAACCCGTATGGCATGACAAGATACTCGTAATGGCCCGAGGTGGTACTAAAGGCTGTCTTCCATTCATCGCCCCCCCTAATGCGCACCAAGTTGTACGCGCTCCTGAGATCTAATTTAGTGAAGAAACGCGCCCCGTGCAATGACTCCGTCATGGTCGCAATCAGCGGGAGTGGATAACTGTACTTCACCGTGATCTGATTGAGACCACGGTAATCAATGCACGGGCGTAATCCTCCATCCTTTTTCTTCACAAAAAAGAAACTCGAGGACGCAGGGGAAGTGGAGGGCCGTATGTACCCTTGTCTCAGAGATTCGTCTATGTACGTCTCCATAGCTCTCTTCTCCTCCTGAGACAGAGGATACACATGGCTCCGTGGGAGCGCAGCTCCTGCCTGGAGGTCTATCGCACAATCTCCCTGCCTATGGGGAGGCAACTGCGTCGCCCTCGACTTACTGAACACAATAGCCAAATCCCCATACTCAGGGGGAACGTGCAATGCGGGCACCTGGTTTGGACTCTCCACCGAGGTAGCCCCTACGGAAACGCCTAAACATCGACCCACACACTGGGCAGACCACTCCATCAGAGCCCTCTCCTGCCACGAAATAGATGGGTTATGGGTACTCAACCAGGGCATGCCCAGCACCACCGGATACGCAGGCGAGTCGATCAGAAATAGCTGGATCATCTCCTGATGACCCCCCTGCGCACACATCCTAAGTGGCGCAGTGACCTCCCTGATCAAGCCCGCACCCAACGGACGGCTATCTAGGGCATGAACGGGGAAGGGAACGTCAACTGGGAGAAGGGGAATCCCTAAGGCTAAGCAAAACTTCTTATCAACAAAATTCCCAGCCGCGCCTGAATCTACCAGCGCCTTATGCTGGGAATGAGGTGCTACCTGTGGAAAACGCACAGGTATACAGAAATGTGCAACAGAGAGCTCTGGGTGAGTGGGGCGCCTACTCACCTGGAAGGACTCCCCAGTGCGGGACCTGTCGTCCTCTCCCCTAGGAGGCCATCCCCAGCACCTAGCCGCGGTGTGTCCTCCCCGACCACAGTTGGTGCAGGAGATGGACCCCCTCGTAAGCCGACCCCTCCTCTCTCTAGCGCCAGCGCCCCCGAGCTCCATGGGGCACGGCTCGGAGGCGCTGGAGGGTGAAATGGACGGACCCCCCTCGGGACGTCCGCGGGTAGCTAGCAGGGTATCCAGCCTGATGGACATGTCGACCAACTGGTCGAACGAGAGGCTGGTGTCCCTACAGGCCAGCTCCCTACGGACGTCCTCGCGTAGACTACATCGGTAGTGATCGATGAGAGCCCGCTCATTCCACCCTGCATCCGCCGCTAGAGTACGGAATTCCAAGGCGAACTCCTGGGCACTCCTCTTCCCCTGCCGGAGGCAGACCAGACGCTCCCCCGCCGCTTTCCCCTCCGGGGGATGGTCAAACACCGCCCTGAAGCGGCGGGAGAACTCGTCGTAGGTGATGGTGTTCGCGTCGATTCTCCTCCACTCTGCGTTGGCCCATTCCAACGCCTTCCCGGAAAGGCAGGAGATCAGGGCGGACACGCTCTCGTGTCCCGAGGGCGCCGGGTGCACGGTGGCCAGGTAAAGCTCCACCTGGAGAAGGAATCCCTGACACCCGGCCGCGGTCCCATCGTAGGCCCTCGGGAGCGAGAGCCGAACTCCTCTGGGTTCCGGAGCGGGAATGGGCTGACCTGCCGATGGTGCGGGCAGGGAGGATGGCGGTGGAGGAGTCCCTCGGGTCTCCCAGCCTCGGATGGTGGTGATCACCTCCTGCAGTGCGGACCCCATCCGCAGGATCTGGTCATTTTGTTCGCGGATCCTGTCCTCCAACGTCGCCTGTGCTGCTGCGGCTCCTGCTGACTCCATCGAGTATGGTGTGTGATTCTGTCAGTGTAGCTGTAGGTGGGTGTGGTGGTGGAATCAGGCGCAGGACGCACAAAGTAAGTCCAAAAGACTTTAGTAGTTTGGCAACAAAACACAGCACGAAACCAAATGCCCTGAGGCGAGAAACTCCGCACACAGGCGAAATAAAGCGGGCGCACAAAATACGTGCGACAAACTACTCCAAAAACACAGAATGGAGAGCAGCTCAACCGAGCAAACTGTACATACAAAAGCTAAGCGCACGACAGTGAAAACAATCACACACAACACTAGACAAACACAACGAGAACTTATAGGACACTAATTACACTAAACGATAACAGGTGTAACAACAATCAGACAAAAGCAAACGAACATAGAAACATGCAACGGTGGCAGCTAGTATTCCGGAGACGACGAACGCCGAAGCCTGCCCGAGCAAGGAAGAGAGGCAGCCTCGGCCGAAACCGTGACAAATGGTGTCCCGTCTTTATCAACATATGGTGTAGGAAGTGGGATCCAAATACAACAAGCCCCTAATATTGTGTCCAGTAATATCTTGAGGCATCCAACAGTGTCGTGATTTCTGTACACTTTCCCCTGCAGGCCAAGACCAAGGGCTGCCAGTCCCGAGTGGACATTGGGGTGAAGTATGCAGACAAACAGGAGAGGCTATTCGACGAGGAGAAGATGAAGGCCGGACAGTGTGTCATCGGACTGCAGGTTTGAGGGCATGGTCACGGGAAGATATTTACGTCTGGGGGGGGGGGGTGGGGGTTGCTGCTGCTGCTGAGAATTGTTTTGTCAACGGGGAGGGGTTGCTGAGAGATGTTTTTCTCTCCCCGCGCTGGTGTTTTGGTCCGCTCATACAGGAGTAATAAAGGCCCAGTGCATTTTTCAAAATGTATTCTGATTTATCAGGGGGTGCTGCAACACTCCTACTTCCCGCGGCTATGTATAAGGGAATGCGTTGACAGTGATACCACTGAGGAGCATGTTGTTCTTTTTGCAGTTGCCAGCTCTGTAGTTGCCATCTTACCAAACAAAATAGCAGTAGTATGACGTTACAAGTCAGCAATATAACAGGCTAATCCAGAGACAGACTGGCATCCATGCTATTGTTTTTATGAAACTCATATTTCATTGCATCTTGGCCTAACTTCTATGTAGTTTGGATATTTCCTATTGAAGGGTTGCATGTAGGATTACATCAATGATTCCTAACATTTATAAGCCCTTTGGCATAATTTATATTTCAGCCAAGAATAATATTGTTGATTTGATGGTATCTACTCAAAGGGATTAGCTGTCTGTCTGAAAGTCTCTCCATCTAAGAGGGGGTTGTAATTTTCTACTAATTCTTTTCTGTTTTCCCTTTTATAACTGATATCTGTCTCTTTCTGCAGATGGGGACGAATAAGTGTGCCAGCCAGGCGGGCATGAACGCATACGGCACCAGGAGGCACCTCTACGACCCCAAGGCTCACATCCTGCCCCCCATGGACAACTCTACCATCAGTCTGCAAATGGGCACCAACAAAGGGGCCAGTCAGGTAAAAGTCCATGTGTAGAAAAGGAAATTCAAGTTCTCACTCAATCACCTCAACATTTCTTAAAACTGAATCAAGGTATCAATATTGTCAATGGGGGAACTAACTGCGTTAAGCAGACTTTGGCCATTACTAATGTATTCTTGTTTATTCAGAGGAGTACAAATATTTGAATTCACTGCTAACTAATTAATCTTTCCCTTCCTCTACTCTTCAGGCTGGCATGACAGCGCCAGGAACCCGCCGTGCCATCTACGACCAGAAGCTGGGCACAGACAAGTGTGACAATAGCACCATGTCGCTGCAGATGGGCTCCAACGCAGGCGCCAACCAGAGCGGGCAGAACTTTGGCCTGGGTCGTCAGATCTACGACGCCAAGTACTGCCCCAAGAACGAGGAGGAGCAGAATGGGGCCGGGGCCGAATATGTCGCCGACTACCAAGACGAGGGTTACCAAGAATACAGAGATGACACGGTGCCGGTGTACCAAGAAGAGGGGACGGATTATTAAAAGGGGGGGTTGTGCTTGTTGAAAATAGAAGAAACCTCAAGGAAGATGTTTTCAAAGTTATTAGTTACATAGGATTTTCTACCTTTTGGGTGATCTCCTTCTGGGATTGGACAATAGTGCCCTCTTGTTCTCATTAAGTGCTGGTTAGGACCAATGTACACATATCTCACATGTGCTATATATTAAAAGGTTTTTATACTCCTGTTGAAATGGCTATACTTATGTGTTTTTAAAGTATAACTGCTAAAGCCAGTACTTGTGTCTGAGCTGTGATTAGCTTTTTTTCTCGCAGGGAATTTGGTAAAGTGCCAAAGCCCCCTTGCCAGTTTCCCCCTCTACAACTAATGTAATTAGGTAGATTTAAAGGGATGGCATTTATGCAAAGGATTTTGATTTACAAATATTGCCTGGAATCCATCTAAGATAGGATTCAATGATTAAAAATAATCTGTTTCGAGATGGAAAAAGAAAGATCTTAAACTTTCAATGGAATGTTGATAAAAAAAAGTTATCAGTTAAAAAATGGATTGTTCCATAGTTGGCATTTACCCATCCTTGTATATATATGCCTAAAAGTCATATTGTTAATGTAAACTATATACATTTAAATTACCTTAATTGATGTGAATAATAATGTGAATTTGTTATAACTGTTTGTATCCATTCATTATTTTTACTTGGTAATACAAAAGACAACAAGATGATCTGTTGAGAACGAGAAAAGAAAATGTGTTTGTGAACAAACCACTGTCTCATTAATCGGCCATTCTGTTAACTTTTTATGTATGCTGAGTACTGACCATATCATTTCTTAGAAGGAAATATTTATTTCGCTTGCATAATCAGAACAACTGGAGCCAAGATTGTTTTCTTTGGATTAGAGTATCTTGAAAAAACATTCAGGCTTTCAACATTTCAAGCTGGATACTGGATTCATTTTGTCAGTTTTCTTCATTGTATAATGTTTTAATGGATTCACTGATGATTGATAAGAGGACCAAAATTATTTTAGATTTTGAACTCTGTCATTCGTGATTCTTTTTATATTTCTGTTTATAAACGTGTTTTGTACCTAGACTCTGAAGGAAATGAGCTTTTACTACCTTAGGTATTATATACATTCCTTGTGCTCTGCTTTGGATCCATCTTTTCATTATAAATGGAAACATTTGTTAAAGTTTGGAAATATGTGTGACTAAAGTGTAATGAAGATGGACATTGAATACAAACCAGACTGATGTGTCAATTTGTTACAATTAAAGGGTGTCTTATTAGTTACATGTTTAGCATAACTTGTGCCAGGATCATTAGTTCATGTGCCTTTAGTTAGGGCATTATCTAGTATCAGCAATATTGTCTAAACAATGTCTGCATTCCATAGCCTAACATACTAATTTAATGTTATGTGAAAAATGCAGTGTTGTAGACATGGGGTTTTGAGTCATTTGGGTCACTAAGGGAATAGAGAAGTATGTGCAGCTAGATATCTGATTTACAAAGGCACTGCACTGGTAGCCCTTGCTCTGCTTGACTAGCAGTTGGTGCAGATGATTTACAAATCAGTTGAAGCTGAACATGCGTTGAAACAGCAGCAGCTGGGAGCACTAGTAAAAGATCTAGGCCAACTCTTATGTAACTTGGGTAAGTAGGCAAAAACATACACATATGTAAATAGAATTGTAAAAACACAACTAAACATATTCCATATTCTTCTTAATAGGTTGTTAGGATGAGCAGAGACTGATAGTGTGTCTATTTCATCAGACCCAGTTCAGCATGCAGGGGTCACCTGTAGGTTTTACAACAACAAAGCAGGTAGGATTAACAAAACTGGTTTCAAGTGCACTACATTTTTAGTAAACACACTCACTGCCTATTGTACCTAGAGCTGTAATCCCCTTACATAAGGTCCCTTGGTTCTGGTCAGGGAGAAGAGCACTGCTTTGCCACCCAAGGCCTTGGTGTCAGCAGCGCCAAGCAGCAAAGTGGAGTACGTCATTACCAAGCTAGATGACCTAGTTAAATGGGCACGCAGGGTAAGAACTCCTCTACTGAAACTTACCCCACAAGAGTAATCATTGCACTATTGTAGTGTTATAACTGTGAAATAGAGTACCATATTGAGAGAGGGCCCCCTTCCATCATAATGTGAATGTTTCCTTTTCTAAAATAGCTGATCAGCTTTTTAAAGTAAAACATTTGAATTAAATGGCACCTGACCACATCTTGTCACTTCCCTCTCTCTTCAACATCTCACAAAGATAATCACCCAAAATCATTTTAAACTTTATTGGAAACCTGGCACAAGCACACTCGGGAATATTTACTGTTATTTATATATGGGCTTTGAGTGTATTCCTGTTTGTCACACAGAGCTTGCTGTGGCCTAGGACCTTTGGGCTGACATGTTGTGTGGTGGAGATAATGCACATGGCAGCCCTTCGCTACGACATGGACAGGTTCAGGGTGTTGTTCAGAGCCAGCCCAAGACAAGCAGACGTCATAATAGTAGCCAGGACCCTCACTAACAAAATGGCACCTGTGCTCCGGAAGGTATCACCCTGATAATTCTATGTAACAAAATATTTCCACCTCCAAAGGGTTGAATAGAAACTGTGAGCATTTTGGGATTCATTCCTGGTGGATGTCTTGACTGTAATATCATTTTCTTGTGTTGTCGTTAACACTTCCATGTTCTGAGTGTCCTGCATTCTCTCTCTTTCCTTTTCAAACAGGTACAGTGAGGGAAAAAAGCATTTGATCCCCTGCTGATTTTGTACGTTTGCCCACTGACAAAGACATGATCAGTCTAGAATTTTAATGGTAGGTTTATTTGAACAGTGAGAGACAGAATAACAACAAAATCCAGAAAAACGCATGTCAAAAAATGTTATAAATTGATTTGCATTTTAATGAGGGAAATAAGTATTTGACCCCTCTGCAAAACATGACTTAGTACTTGGTGGCAAAACCCTTGTTGGCAATCACAGAGGTCAGACGTTTCTTGTAGTTGGCCACCAGGTTTGCACACATCTCAGGAGGGATTTTGTCCCACTCCTCTTTGCAGATCTTCTCCAAGTCATTAAGGTTTCGAGGCTGACGTTTGGCAACTCGAACCTTCAGCTCCCTCCACAGATTTTCTATGGGATTAAGGTCTGGAGACTGGCTAGGCCACTCCAGGACCTCAATGTGCTTCTTCTTGAGACACTCCTTTGTTGCCTTGGCCGTATGTTTTGGGTCATTGTCATGCTGGAATACCCATCCACGACCCATTTTCAATGTCCTGGCTGAGGGAAGGAGGTTCTCACCCAAGATTTGATGGTACATGGCCCCGTCCATCGTCCCTTTGATGCGGTGAAGTTGTCCTGTCCCCTTAGCAGAAAAACACCCCCAAAGCATAATGTTTCCACCTCCATGTTTGACGGTGGGGATGGTGTTCTTGGGGTCATAGGCAGCATTCCACCTCCTCCAAACACGTCGAGTTGAGTTGATACCAAAGAGCTCGATTTTGGTCTCATCTGACCACAACACTTTCACCCAGTTCTCCTCTGAATCATTCAGATGTTCATTGGAAAACATCAGACGGGCCTGTATATGTGCTTTCTTGAGCAGGGGGACCTTGTGGGCGCTGCAGGATTTCAGTCCTTCACGGCGTAGTGTGTTACCAATTGTTTTCTTGGTAACTATGGTCCCAGCTGCCTTGAGATCATTGACAAGATCCTCCCATGTAGTTCTGGGCTGATTCCTCACCGTTCTCATGATCATTGCAACTCCACGAGGTGAGATCTTGCATGGAGCCCCAGGCCGAGGGAGATTGACAGTTCTTTTGTGTTTCTTCCATTTGCGAATAATCGCACCAACTGTTGTCACCTTCTCACCAAGCTGCTTGGCGATGGTCTTGTAGCCCATTCCAGCCTTGTGTAGGTCTACAATCTTGTCCCTGACATCCTTGGAGAGCTCTTTGGTCTTGGCCATGGTGGAGAGTTTGGAATCTGATTGATTGATTGCTTCTGTGGACAGGTGTCTTTTATACAGGTAACAAACTGAGATTAGGAGCACTCCCTTTAAGAGTGTGCGCCTAATCTCAGCTCGTTACCTGTATAAAAGACACCTGGGAGCCAGAAATCTTTCTGATTGAGAGGGGGTCAAATACTTATTTCCCTCATTAAAATGCAAATCAATTTATAACATTTTTGACATGCGTTTTTCTGGATTTTTTTGTTGTTATTCTGTCTCTCACTGTTCAAATAAACCTACCATTAAAATTATAGACTGATCATTTCTTTGTCAGTGGGCAAACGTACAAAATCAGCAGGGGATCAAATACTTTTTTCCCTCACTGTATATGACTAAATGCTAGAACCTAGATATGTGATTTCAATGTTTGAGTAAACCCATCTTCATGTGTTTTTTTCCTTCTCACATGTCTGACGATCACACTTCTGTGTTAACATTACTTTTAGTGTCTCACAGAAAGTTGTGGTTTGTAGCACTAACCTCATCCTTGCATTCTGCTAAACATAACCCATACTTCTGTATGTTCTGACCACATAGAGCTATAAGTGTTCCTCTCTTGGTTTGAGTTGTGAAGTTCTCTTTAAACATGATGCTACACCACTGCAGAAGGTTGTCACGATCGTCGGTGAGAGATGAGGACCAAGGCGCAGCGTTGAATGTGAACATATTTATTAATGAATGATCACACGATCAAAACAACAAAACGATGACGTGACAGTCAATGGTCATACACAAACCAAAATACGAACAAGAAACCACAATGAAAGAATGCCTAACGGCTACCTAAGTATGACTCCCAATCAGAGACAACGAGCTACAGCCGTCTCTGATTGGGAGCCACCCTGGCCAACATAGATATACAAAACCAGAAAGTGAAACCTAGAACACACATAGACTATACACACACCCTGGCTCAACATATTAGAGTCCCCAGAGCCAGGGCGTGACAGTACCCCCCCCTAAAGGCGCGGACTCCGACCGCG